GGKWMCMRGGKTTTWAWTYYKGRAAAAAAAAAAAAAAAAGCAGTGTTCATGTGGCCTAGAAGGAATCAACATGGAAAGTAAATTAATGCTGTTGATTATGCTAACCCTGAATTAGGAGTACAGGCATTTATTCCTGTAAGGAGATCTTTCTGGTTTTAGAGTCATGTCTCTACCTTGGATTCAGTTAAACCATGCACGAGATCCATCTTTTTTGTGATTTCCTTTCAGATTAATTGTGAGCAAGCTACCTTTGCAAAGGTGAATGTGGGGGAGCAGAAGGGGATTTATTTAGAGAGATGAGTCTTGAAAATTGGGAAGGGTATCCCAGGCAGAGGGAGATCAAAGTGCTGAGGCTGGGAACTGTTCTATACCTGGGCTGTGCCATGGGCTGTGTGGCGTGAAGGGAAGTTTATGTACGATGATGTAGCTGTGAGATGTAGCTGGAGAGGGTGTCAAAGAGCTGGGGTCTTGGAGGACCTCTCAGTCATGCTAAGGATCCTGGGTTTTATTCTCTAGGGCAGTACTTCCTAACACTTTTTATGTTGTGGTGCATTAGAAAACTACATCTGTCTGGGGACTGTGGTAAATGGACAGCTAGAGGCATACCTGTCTGTCCCAGGAGTGAAAGAAGTGCAAGTATCCTGTCACTCATTTCCTAACCATCTTCGCAGGGGCTGAGGTACTAGATAGAGAGGTCTTCTGGAGGGCAGATCTGCTAAAGAGGGTATCTCAGTGAGACTGCTGGCAGAAATGGAGATGGGAATTTTTGTCAAAAAGAGCTCATCATGTCTCACCTGGACATCTCAAGGGCCTCACAACAGAGAGGAAGGAGATAGAAAGGGAAGAACTTTGTGACCAATCTGATAGAGGATAAGTCAGTCGCTGGCTAGAGTGACTGGGTGGAGGTGGTGTCAATCTCCCACATGAGAGCATGGGTGGGGAGCAGATTGACAGCGATTTCTTTGTCAACCAGAAGGTTTCCTGGTAGGCTCTGTTTGGTTTAATTCAACAGTCATTCTGAATGTTAGGATTAAGACAAGGTCCTTCCTAGGACAATCACACTCTAGGAAGAATGGTTTCTGGTAAACCAGAGAGACATAGCTGGGATTCCCCAGGACACCCATTTTGAAGTTTTTGTTTGGGAATGTGTTAAGGAAAGCTTACCAGATAAAATGACTACCTAGATGAGTTTCAGTAGCCTAAGTAGACTTTACCTAAGCAAAGGTGTGTGTGTGTGTGTGTGTGTGTGTGTGTGTGTGTGTGTGTATGTGTGTTGGAAGGGATGGAACAGGTCCGGACATTTAAGGCACAGGGACCTATGTGAATAAGAAGGGACACTGGCAGATAACACAGATGTACAGGGAATGGTGGGCTTTTGACACTGCTGGGATATAAAAGATT